ATGAAGAAAAATCCTCAATTGAAATTATCCGATATACAATCACTAAGAGAGTGGTGCGAAAAACAACCGCACTTGCCAAAAGTTGAAGATACTTTCCTTGCCTTGTGTCTTCACAGGCATAATTATCAAATGGAACCAACGAAAAACATAATTGAGAATTATTACACAACCAGGACGCACTTACCAGAATTTTTTTGCAATCGAGATCCGCTCGAGGAAAAAAGGATAAAACAGGCCTCCCAAGTCTTGTAAGAAACGATTCTGTAAATGTTACTGAGCAAATAGAAGTAATAACTTGTTAATGTGTATGTAAAATGTTAATTTGTAATATTTGAAATTTTTTGAATATACACATTTTGAGATTTATGCAGAAAAAAATAAATTTTATAATGTGTATGGATGTACTAATATTTAATTGTAGATTTTTGAAACTATTACAAAATATTTTTAATTATATTTTGATATTATTTGATATACTCATATATTTTACTGATATATTAATAAATTGAGATAAATTGTTTTGATTTAAAAAGAGCATGTTTTCCTCTGGAAGAAATAACAAAGGATGGCTATAAACTGCTATATGGAGCATATTTAGACACCGATCCTTCTCTCTATGACTTTAATGACGCTTGCAAATATTACATAATGTTAAACGACATGCATTTTTTGATGGATGGTACTACAAACGGATATATTATTTTCTTTGATGCTAGCAATTTATCCTTCGGTCATATTAAACGAATGAATCCATTCACATTCAAAAAATATTTATATTATCTCCAAGAGGCATCACCATTTCGTATAAAGGAAGTCCATATCATAAACGCACCAACAATCATCGAATTTGTAATGAACATGATAAAACCTTTTATGAAGAAAGAACTACTAGACGCAGTAAGTGTCACAAATTAATTAACTTTAATTCTAATTATTTAACAATACCCTTGTTTTTGAGAAATGCATTTATATTTGCAATAAGCGCGATGTAATGTAGTAACTAAATAATTTTAATTTATACATAAATAAATATTTTTAATTGTACTGTTAATGATTTAAGCAAATTCAGATTTTTGCAAAAATAATCGCCCGTAATATCAAAATTTTTATTTAAAAAAATTATATTCAAAGATATAGTTCTACTTATAATTAGTACTTAAACATATTTTCCTGAACGTAATCAACTTTTACAGGTACATTTTTTTTCATCGTTAGAGAACGTTTCCAAATATATCTCAGTGGATGCGTTGCCGAACGAATCGGGTGGAAAGGCGGGTCCGACACGCATATTGAATGAAATGGAAATGAAGAAACTCGAGGACTATCGTGAATGGTTTCTGCTGGACAAAATAACCAGACGTGTTGACGAAACAAAGAGAATTGGCAAGAGCAAATCGGCGAATGATTTATTTGGTGTTGAGGGTAATTTTAGAAAATTGGATATAGATTAAAAAAGATTTATAATTCTATATAAATTATAATCTTATCTTGTGCAACTTCTTTTAATATTATTTGGTCTTTTGCACTTAGTAATGTTTTACGTAATCATTGAGTTGCGCATCTATTGGAGTGAAAAAAATTCTTTATGCAGCATGTCGTAACGTCGATTCAATTTACTATAATTACAATATTATACAGAGTTTTGCAAAGTTAACATACCGCTATAATATAAGAATAATAACATCAAGTTTAATTATAAAATTTTTTAATCAAAATTGTATTTAAAATTGAAAAAAAAGAGGATGTTAAAAAAAGTCCAATTTTTGGCGGGACCTTAG